GTCATTTTGTTAATTTATTTTGTGCACTTATGTTATTTCTTGTTTTTTGTCTTTTAAAATGTCTGTAAACACATTGTAAACCCTGTGCTTAAAACTGTGCAATACAAATAAAGATTGATCTGCTTACCCACTGTAAGGTGGCAGTGGGTGTAGCAGAGGGAATGCGACACCATGGATGCTACGACAGTCCATCTCTGAGCACATACCCACTGTAGGCAATTTGAAGACACCAGTTAACATTTCCAATTGTGTCTCTACCCGCACCTCGGCAACCCAGACAGTGCTTGTTTTTGCATCCTTCCAGGAACAGTCTGGGAGGGAGCAAAAACATGAACCATGTTGGGGTCCCCAAGGACTGGGTTGAGAAACACTGGCCTAACCACATATTTTCAGACTACAGAAGAAAACCAGTATATAAATTAATTCTGTGCACTCACAGGGAACATGCAAAATTCATACAAACAGAGCAGGGATGGGATGTGAAATCTCAGTCTGACTGGGTTATGGAATAATGCTAGTGAACAGTTCTTCAAGCCTAAAGCCATTGTTGCACAATCTTGTTATTTGAGTGTTGTGCTAGATGGTACATCATGTTGGTTGACTGCAATGGACCTTGTTCATGTCATTAATTAGCAACAATGTCCCAATGATCTTCATCCTGTATCTTATACATAGGCTATATGTTAGGAATGTATTGGGATGTCTGACTCTTACTGAACTATTAAAAATGCTATCTATAATTTATAAAAGAAAATAAATAAATCAAGATTTATTGTGGTGATGCTGTACCGTATTTTTGATGTTAGTATTATTGATTTCAGGATTTATTGTACAATTGGCCCTCCGTGTACACGGGTTATGTCGCTACAGATTCAACCGACAAATCAAAAATATTCAGGAAAAAGAATTCCAGAATTATCCAAAAGGCAATATATGAATTTGCTGTGCACTGAGCACTACTGAATGAATAAAATAATGTGTAGTTTTGGGTGTTAGTGAGTGTTAAAATAGTGTCTGTGTGTGTTTGTGTGTGTGTGTGTGTGTGTGAGAGAGAGAGAGAGAGAGTGAATATTTTTTTATCTTTCTTGTATAATTATATTTTCTATATGTACTATGATGCTTGTGTCTGTACTGAACGCGTACAAGCGTTTTTTCTGATGATTCCATAATCAATACAGTATAACAGCTATTTACATAGCATTTACATTGTATAAGTAATCTAAAGATGATTTAAAGTTTACACCAGCAACTGCATAGGTCATATGTAAATATTACACCATTTTATATAAGCGACTTCAGCATGCACGGGTTTTGGGATCCGTAGGGAGTCCTGGATCCGATCCCCTGCAGATACCGCGGGCCGACTGTGGTTCATTATCTACTATTTATAGTGATTCCCTTTTATCCTCGCTGTGTCTGCAAAACTTTCCATACATAATATGTTAATACTATTGAATGTATCGATTCCGATGCATATATTGATTCAAACGAAATTATTCAAAGCAGTAAAAAAAGCCACCTTCATTAGCTGAAAAACTACTGGCTTTTAGTACTTAGGGTAGCATTGTTTCCAGAACTATCACTAGGGATATTTATTCATAGTATTGGATTGTGAGAGCACTAGTTAGTCCATGTGCCCAATAGAAGGCATGTTTGTTTCCATTTCTTGAACATTCTTTAACTCGGGGTGGTGTGTGGTTTAGCAGGCTAAGCCTCCCTAGCATGCTCAGAATGCTGCTGATTCAAGCCCCACCCTTGGTGGAATAGTCACATGTCTGTGTGTCTCATGGAGCGCAAGATGGGGGAGGCAAAAAAAAGTGTTTCCCCACAGGGATTAATAAAGGTTCTGTATTAAATTTCAGACTTAGAAATTAGAGAAAAATCCACTGTAGACCCACTGTGCAGGTATAAGTACATGGAAGACGGATGGATGAAGAAAAAATCACCAAAAGGACTCCATTTAGTCCTTAATATTACTTTTGAATAAAATTACCATAATATTATCAAAAAAAAAGAAGAAATTCGGACATTTCAAGGATGTTTGTAATCAGAATATGGCTAAGAGAACTAAGCAAACAAACTATGCCGTATGTAATGCAGTTTATGTTTTAACTCTCTGGTTAAATAATAGCCTTCAAATGTCAAAAAGCCTACAGGTGCATGTGTTGATATACAATTAAACTAACTGTCATTGTGATGTTATTAACATTAGTTCAGGGTCTTTCCAAATAAAAGAAAGATGAAATCATAAAATTTACCTAAAGCTATATTTAAAGTCTGTTTGTGGTCCTAATGATGTGAAAACACTATGTGGAACATAGTCCAGCTTATTAGGCCACATTTCACAAGAACAAAAATCCTGAAGAGTGTACAAAAAAACTAGCTTTTTAGTCTGTTCAGTGAATACTTTAATAGCTAGAGTGGTGGTTAAAGGAGTGTACAGTAATATGGGTCCAGTACTGAAAATGTAGGTCAGGAATCAGTGACTGGTGCTCCAGGGCACCGTCTCCCACTGCGAAGTGGGATGTAACACTTCATCGCAGCTAGGAAGGTGCCTTTTGTAAGTATGGCCAGACTGAAACACTTATTAACTCATATTTTCCCTCCAGGAGTGCAAGGGTATAGTGTTTACATAGACGTCAAACACAATAGTGAAAATTAAATTGCTCTCCGGCTCCAATTCTCAACCAGCCATTGCACAGGACCAGAGCATGTGAGCGGAGTGGAGCGGTGAGAATTTCCGCTCCTCGTTCACGAGGCTGTTGACTCCGCCCGCTCCTCCGCTCTTATTCACACTAAGCCGCTCCGCTCAACACCGCTCTTCGCTCCACTAAAATTTCCTCCCGCTCCAGTCAAATCGCTCCACTCTCGCTCCAGTTTAAAAGAGGGACAAATAAACTGCATGCCTAACAAACATCACCTTAAACCGAAGCCTTATATCATAAAGAAATATGAGCAACGGCAACATTGCCAGTCAGAACAGAAAATATTTATTTTTAAGCAACTTATAGGCAACAACGGACGGGTTTGGCAATGGCATTCCACGCAAAAATAGGCTTAAAAATAAAGGAATCAGTGGGCTTAATAGCCTAAATATACAGGCACATTTTAAATTTCTCGTTTTTTTTCTGTTGATGCTGCTGCATGCTGCGTCTCTATAAAATAAAATTTCACTGACAGCATTACGTGAAATTAAGAAAAACTCTATTAGACCTACTTTGATTTGAATTTGATCACCAATATTTACTTTATAGGCTTTTATACTTTAATTTACTTTATAGACTTGATATACTACAACCATATAAAACTTGCTCGCGTTTTGCTCTGGCTTCCGCCTGTTCACGTAGCACACTCGATCATGTTTCTGAGAAAAGTGATTCCAAGTGAATCTTTACTCACTGAAACAGTTTCATGACATTGCTGTTCTTGCTGTACATTATTGTTATCTATACGTTTGATAAGAATAGTACACTTGTACGATTTATCAGTTTCCTTTGTGAAATACTTTGCGAATTCCATCTCGGCCAATTTGTGTAACAGTCTTAATAATTGTACAGATGAATTCTGGGTAGATCTGGCCACGCCTCAGAGTCTTAGTGTGAGCGGTATCGGAGCGAAACTGGAGCGAGACAGAGCGACCGCTCGATCCAGTCTTAATTAAATAACCGCTCCGCTCCTCACTCACGCTCCGCTCCACTCCGCTCACATGCTCTGCACAGGACCCAGACCTCAGAGGAAACAAGGAATCTCATGGATCACACACTTTAGTCATAAGGGGATAATATTTCTGGAAAGTTTGTATGTAAGTAATCAAAGTGCATTAGTGAATTGTTTTTCGCAATTTACCTGGTAAATACATTTTCGTGAACTGTCACTAGTTTTAGGTTGATGTAAAAATTACGTGATTAAGTAATTATGCACTTATTGTAATAACAACTTGAATGAATGTGTCAAATTAGTTTGCGTAATTAATGTAATGTAAATTAACGTAACTAATTAATTTGTTTTTCTGGCACACAGCATTTGAATAATTTGAAGCTGATTTCAGATTAAGAAACAAATGAATATTACAATAATCATCTTTAAACATCTTATAATCATCTTTAAACATCACTTCTTTGTCTAGGATTTTCTGGGAACGGTAATGCAGGCCTTCATCAGGTAGATGGTAATCCAACCTCATCAAAATGGGTCTATATTCAATGTGGGATCTGTGGGCTATGTACATTATTTATGGGGTGCTGATATGAACTCTTCAATAATGCGGCATAGCTGAGTAACAGAGGGGAGAAATATCAATAATTCACATTATATGTTTGGTGAGATTATGTTTTTATCAAAAGAAATACCTACAACTCACTGTTTAACACATAAAACTTTTATGCACTTGGTTGTTTGACTCAAACTATTCAGGTTAAGCTTTACATTAAACACAGTAAACCCACACGGGTATCTCAGCAGTCATGTGGCTTTTGCTGGTCTTCATATGAACAACCCAGAAGTGTGACCATCAGAGACTGTGACAGAAAGTCGGCTTTGGTCTGCCTACAACAGATGCTTCACATAACTCACTTTAACTCTCACATACTCTGTTTATGAAGCTGTGAATCTCCCTTTACAATCAGCGCTGCAGCCATGAAGGTGGTGTTCTTCACTCCTTAGGACCAATAAATTGAATTTCATCTACACACTTCCATAAGGAGCAATGTCCTCCTTCCAGCAAATCACGCTTAGCAACCTTAAAAGAAGACTGCATATGTGTGTTTGCAGTTTTTGTCTACGGATTGATTGTATATATTTGTTATTTCGCTTAGTCAAAATATTTTACCATGTTTCTTTAAGCTGTTTGTTTAAATTATATAATAAAAAAATAAACTGTCTTCCGGAAGTATAATTAAAAAGAAATCCTTACTAAAGGCTGATAGCAAGGACTCCAGTTTCGTTTCAAGTCCATCATTTTGCTGAACATTAATAAACAATTTAACATGAAACAAATGAAGTTGCTTTAAAGTGACCCTTTAATGTTACAACAGTTCAGGCTGCTATCCCTCAGTGTCTGTTGCTGCTCCTGTATTTACATCATTCATTTTATTTAAATTTAAGGTGCAACATTGTCATTTTTTACACTCAACAGGTCTGTGCAATTGGGAATTCATAATGACGAAGTGTGATCATTGCAAAAACCATGAAAGGTTCTGCTTTTTTTTCCCAGATTAATAAACTTACAAATAAACAAAAGTGGATGTGCTGTCAAAAGTGAGTACTTGAGACAAATTGGCTCATAGATGGTCTACATTAATAATTATGCAGCTTCTGGACTGACATTCAATCAGAACAAATCAGTCTTCTGCTGCTGTTTTGCTACAGTATGATATAAAAACTGTGTTTGGAATTCCAAGTTGCCTGGATTGTAAAACTGTCAAAAAAAGAATCTCTCTATAATTTTTGGTATGCACAAAAAATTGGAGAAATATATATATATATGTGTGTGTGTTTGTGTGTGTGAAAGAATTATATATAAAATACAGCATGCCATTTAGAAACAATTAACTCACTGCATTTTAATGAACTGAACTCTTTCATTTGTAATAATAATTACCCTGAATTTTAATGACACAAAACAATCAGGAAAAGCTAACTCACTACATTTAACCTCATTCTTTTTTTGTGCCTAACGTCATGAACCACATGTATTGTTAGTTAAAATTTACACAATATATAAAAATAGACATTTTTTATACCTGTTTGATTTTCTAAAAAAAAAAAAAATACATAGTCTTCTTCACCTTCGGTGAATAGCCTTGATCTGCGAAGATTTGCAGTCTGGGAGGCCATTCTGTCTGTCACTATGTATTATGTGTCATGTGTGATCACACACAGTCACCTCAGGCAGGGATGTCAGGTCCTGAATAAGCACCTGCGGTGGGGCGGGCATTGGCTGCGAATGGGGAGTGGTGTTCTTCTGGAGTTCTACGCCAAGAGCAGAGGGCACGTTTTGCATATGGGACTTGTATTGCACAAAACTGCAAGTCTTTAAGACAATAGCTATAAGGTTCTTTCCCATCAGAATTCCAGAAACCCTCATGTCCTTGTAGAAGATCAAGTTGCCACCTCTTATTAAGAGGGTGATGATGTTGATGGTGACCAGGCTGAGGATGGGGTACAACATCATCTTGTGGGGAACGATGTTGATGCCCTGCATGCTGATCTCACTCAGGGACACGCAGGGCAGGATCAGCAGCAGGATGTAGCAGTAGAAGAACATCAGTCCCTCAGTCCACAATGGGAGTCCTTTCTTCTGTGGCTCCCAAAGGTTAGCCTGAATGTCCAGAATGTCCAGGAGGTCCACCACCACCCAGAATAGCCGGTTGCGGATCTCCTCCTTTTTCTTGAAAGCACGAACGTATTCCATGTGGTCGATGCCCACCAGGATGATGTAGAGCACTGGCACCGAGACGGACAGCAGGAGAGTGAGGGCTTTGCGGGCGATGGTGTCCAGGCTCTTGCGATCAGCCTTATAGTTCTGGTAGATGAAGTAGACCTTGATCTCCAACACAAAGATATAGAGGAACCAGAGGATCATGGCATAGCCACGCTTGGCTGTGCGTACCTCGGCACCCACCCACACCGCCACATAGCGCAGGACGATGAGGAAGCAGATGTCGCCCACTGTCACCATGATGCATACACCGATCTTGCGTGGTCCTTGGTTCTGCTCCACCAGGTAGGCATCCATCAGTGCCATGCTGCCCATGATAAGGATAGTGGACAGGCACACGTGAGGCTTATTAGAGGGTGGGGGCGGAACCATGTTGGCGTGGGGGCTTGACGTTGATCAGGCGGGTGGTCCTTGGGCAATCAGAGACTGGAGGGTTAGATGGGCGGTCCTCCCTGGACCTGCTCCAGCGACTGGGCGTTGTAACCTACAGGGTGTGCTGTCCTTCTCTCTGCCCACACGCCAGCCACAGAGCAGGTGAACAGTGAGGGAAACACTTAGCATAGGTTCTGCAAGACTCAAAAAATAGACCACCTCTCGTAGCTTGTGCTTTTTTGACCGATGTTACAGGGTAGTTGAAATAATTATTTTTTTTAGCACAATAATCAGGTTTTAAACATTAAATATATTTAACCTATAGTGTAATACTAACATGCACAATGAGGGGCAATTCAGAGATGCAAGATACTTACTCATTTCCTTTCTTTATTAATTAATCATTATGATTTGTGGGGTGCTCTGTTCCATGAGAGAGTGTCCCGAAACAGAAATCCGTGCTTATAATCCATAGAGACGCTTTGATGGAAGAAAGTCCTTTTCCCTGATGAAGTGTACCACGAAACAAAAAAAAAATTGCATTATCCAAAGTGCAAAGGAACTCCACAGGATTTATTCCATGTTTATTTCAGACTGAAGAAAAGGTGAATGATCAAGACAGCTTCTTTTTCGACATTTACACAGAAAAGCCAAAGACGTGAGTGTTATCAAAACGTAGCTTAACTTTAATTAACAAGAAATATAAAAGGAAAAGTTTTTTGTTTAGTTAGTGTCAAAGACAGCCTATAGTCCTTAGGAAAAGAGTTTGTCCACTTTAAAGGTGCATCTACCTGTCTGTGTTGGAGTGTGGGTCTGGGTCTGGGTCTGGGTTCAAATGTAGATGACAGTGGAGGCTCCTAGTCGAGCGTGAAACTGCCCGAAAGCCTCTCTGCTGTCTCTACAGCTCATCCTGGCTGAAGAACAGCCTCCCGTGACGATCATCGCTCCTGTGACTTCCTCAGCCCCCCCCCCCAACTGCTGCCCTGAGTTCCAAGCAGGGAAGCACCGCTACTGGATCGCTGACAGCCACGCAGCCTGCTCAGCTCGGCTTGGCCAGGAGCTCTGGGCCAGTGGAGTGAGCATAGAGTCCTCCTTTGTGCTTTCACTGCCCCCCACCTCTCCCCTTCAGCCAGTGGCGTTTGTGGCGTTCCAGCTGAGCCTCTTTTATTCCATCTCTGCTTTCCCCCCCCCTCTCCTCCCTCATGTACTTTCAGGCATTGGCTGTCCGGGGAGTGCAGTCAGTGGTCCACAGCTGCGGGGAGAGAGGTCTGTCTCAGCACTGGTCCTGAGCCTGAAGGGGAAGAAGAGTCAGCCTTGTGTGGTCCTAAATTAATGCAAAACTCTCCTGCCTTCGTTTCCTTAGTCTTCTCTTTTTGTTTCTACCTGTCCCTTCCCCTCTTCATGACAATTGCTACTATTTTACCTTGCCTTGGTTCCGTGCAGATCTCAGAGGTAGGAGGTTTTTTTTTATTTTATTTTTTTAATTTTTCTTAAGCCATCCAGACTGCAGGGGAAAAAGGCATTAGTTTGGGAAGCAGTCCTCTGTGATGCTCTTCAGCCCAGGAGGAAAAGGCGGCAGGAGAGAGGCACTTTCGCTGGAGCCTTCCCTCGTGTGAGGGGGTAGTGAATCAGAAAAGACTGACTGAGCTTCACTGAGAAGGAGAGAGAGGAAGAGAGGGAGACGAGCGGGAGGGAGGAACAGGGATGTGGAGGGAGACTTTCTCCTTACTGGCTCAGGGAATAAGAGATAAGCACAGTAAGCTTCCAATCTGTACTACATAACGTGATTCAGAGCATCAGCCAAAGATTACCTAGGATCAGAATATAAATATTGATCGCTATATAAGTAATACACACACACACGCACACACAGAAACCTACATAATTTTTCACAGCAGCCTTCATGTGCACATTATATCAAGGTCATTTTTATTTTATTTTAGGTTACATTTTATTTCAGTTATCAAATAGCAGTGATTAACGGTATAATATGTGAGCCAAATGAAAAATCCCACGCAGAAGAATAAATACAAATATGCAGATAGGAAGGATGAAAGGAAAATATAAAAAGTGCTTACTGCTTTCAATCCATCTATTTTAAAATGTGATGATCACTGACGAAAATATTGTGCTACCAGAAATATCAAAGATACTATTAATTGACAGTAATTTGTTTCTTCACTCAAACGGGAATTTTTATGAATATAAATAAGAATGTGAACATCCGTGTTAGAATTTATTGGGAAGTGGTATTAATGGAAGGATTAATGCCTCGTGTACAAGATTGAAAAAGTAGCGTGAGTAGGACAAAGTTTTTTTTTCTACTTTTTGCAAATTCAAGCATATTCTTTGATTCGTGTAACAATTGATTTACAGGGGTTTCACGGTTGGGTAAAACATTTGAAACGCAGACAAGAAGCGCCCACGTGGTTATGGTCTGTCAAAGGTACGCAGTTCTGGGTGATGGAAGTTCGGATTATAATCATTATTCTCACCTGTCTGTCCCCTCTCCTTGTCTAGACATACATACATACAAACAAACATATTTGCGCTGGTTGCGTACGTCCTGCTGTGACTCTAAACCCAAGCTTTCACAGCCGCGTTAACCCTCCATTTTAGAGGGCGATTAGTTCATACAGAATTAAATTTCGATGTAAACGAATCCAGCCCCCCCGGTAGCTGATTTCTCAGCCATTACAACGGTGTCCAATTCACCCATTTCTTGCCCTCAGAGTAAATCAGGGACGTCTGGCTTTATTTGGAATGACAGGCATTTCTCACAGCCAGAGCAGTCCTGTGCATCTAAATCAGGATCATTAGCACATTAATTTAATTCTCTTGCACCTTTCTAAAAGTTCTTGGTGTCAGCTTTAATTTATGCGGGGAATTCGGTTTGTGCAGAGGAAATTCGAGCCGTATCTCCACTGACAGATGTTTTGTAGTTAAATGCCACAGAAACCCCAGGTTATTTTCTGACAACTCGATTAAGTTGCGGTAGAAAATTAGAACATTAAGGGTATAAACATTTCTATAAAGATCCAATGGACATTCAGTGGTGTGTCTGGGTACTTCTGTCAAATCAATCGCGTACGTCCTTTAATCACTGATGATGCTGATTTGCGGTGATTTTTCCTTGTGCTTTGATCTCAATCGATGGCATAAAGCTATTTTTCCCCTGGCTAATTTATATTTTAATCAACTTATCATTTATATTCATGATTGCTTTATACAATATATAATGCCCAAAAATACAAATTTCTGTTGATTTCTTTTGCTGTTGCTCAGGTAACGTAGATATTCTTTGCGCAATTAATCTAGAAATATGTATTATTTAAATGAAATACCCTGCTAATGCTGAGTGGTCTATATTGTGTTTATAAAATAGTTTTTAACATCCACAGAGCTGCTAAATGGCACTCAGTGTAATACAGTGCAATTTTGTGACGTGCAGGCTACGATAAATAGCTAGGTCATGTGACGTACAGGATGACAGGAGACCAATTAAGTTGTCTGTCATTTCCTGTTATCTGTGTAAATGTGCCTTTTCTATCTTGTTTCTTTGTTTTATAGTAACCTATGAGAAGCTTATGATAAACCTGTGTAGGGAAGGTTCCTCTACTTTCAGATCTTTTCGGTCTCTGCCCTGTCTGCTCTGTACTGTAGGTGCTGCCCTCACCACGCTGGCTCCTAACCTTTCTTTATTCAAAGAATTGTCTAATTTCTCATTTCTAGCCCCAAATCACCTGGTTCTGCTCGCCGTGCCAACCTTGCACACTTTGACAATTATACTGTATATCTCAAGATTGTTGGTTTGGTTTTGACTTTGCTAAGGATCAGATCCACTGCCCAGAGCACACACAATACTCCCACAATGGTGGGAGCACATCCCCACCATGCATGCCTAAATCAACGCCCAGGATATACAGTATGTCTGTATACCATTGTGCTGCATTGTAAGTCATGGTTCTCTTATATTCCAAATAGAAATTGTAGAATTCTTTAATGAATGGGATGGCATGGTGGTGCAGTGGTTAGTACTGTTGCCATGGTTCTGTGTGCGTGTGTGTGTGTGTGTGTGTGTGTGTGTGTGTGGAGTTTGCATGCTTTCCCCATATTATTATGGGATTTCCTCTGGGAAAATATTTGCAATATTTTGACTGAATTAAGCAAGCGACCCAAGATCTTGTGAGCACCATGTGTGTGGATGTGTGTGCGTATATATAGATAAAAATTTTTAGATTAAATTTTTGCTGATATTTTAGTGTTTGTAATGTCATTCACGTGCAAGCATGCAGCCTGATATATTGACCATACTCTCATTCACAAAATGAAACAGAAGCCCCAGAAGACACATAATTTCCATGGTGCTATCTAACACTAAATTATTGTTGATGAATTCAGTCTTTTGACTTTCTTGGCACGCACCCCTTAACATAATTTGCTCCTCCCCCAGCTCCCTCCAAAGGACACGGGTCCACCAATGAGCTGAGCTGGCGAGAGGGGGAAACCCCACCATATCGACTGATTGTGTCACATCAACAGACATGGAGCACATTCAAATCTAATATTTCAAAATTAGCATATGTAATAAATCCGTAGAACACCTTGCCAATGTAATTAAGTTGATTTAGGAATCATGGGGTAATTTATTGGACAGCATTATTGCTGCATGAGAAATCAATCAAGAATTTCAAGTCGATATCAAATCTGCAAACAGTTTAATTTCTAAATCTTATTTGTAAAGTCAACCCACTGCCTTTTTCCCCCTTTAATTATATGTCTAATTTAATTCCAAATGGCACACGTCATTTTGTAATGAACAACCGAAGGTAATTACTGTAATGGAGCAGAGAGCTGACTGTCAAAAGAATGGTTTTCACTTCTTATTATATGAAATGGACTGTGAAATCAATTTAGAGGTTGTAACATAACGTCCTTTTGGCGTACATGCGGTAAAGCCATCCACATGTTTACCCTTAACTCCTTACCCAGTGCACGGTTGTGGTGAACCTGGGAAGCACAGGGCACATGGCAGGGTGCACCATTGGATAGGATGCCAGTCCATCATAGGGCATATGTGGATTGTGGAAGGAAACCTCAGTGGAGACCCAAGCAGTCACGGAGGGAACATGTCAGCTCCACAAACACAGAATCAGAATTAAATTCATAACGCTGGTGGTTTAAACTCGCTGCAGAGTCCCTGAGCAAAAAAAACAAAATGTCTGTTGCCACTAGATCAATAAGACCGTGAATGTCAGGTGTTCATTTTAGGTGTATGGCAAAAAAATGATATGATAAAAAAGGCAGGAAAATTAGGAATTTTATTATTATTTCTAAAAAGACCCAGGTTGATTAACAATTTATAATACTACTATACAGCAAACATTTGCAAATCATGCATATTCATGCAAGTAATTATGGTTACCTGTCTTGTGAGAGCATGTAACGTGGACGTGGATTGGGTTCATGTCCTCGGAGAAGTCTTACTGTAATACCCTTGAGGAAGGTGCTTAAATTGGACCACTAAGAAGAAGAAGGAAAAAAAAACAGTTGAATTTGAATGAACGAAGACAATTTCCACAAAGCATTATAGACCATGGCACAAAGGATAAGATGGAAATAGGGTAGATAAATCACATTAGCCGTGACCCTGCACCTCCATCGATTAACCAGAGGAGAATGAATGGGGACATGCCACTGATCTTCCTGAATGTGCAGAGACCCGGAAGCTACTGGGATTCAAGGCTAAGAAAGCGGCTACCAGTGACCCGCAAACCCTGATGGATGGGGAGCATAACCCAATAAGTGACCCCATGTCCACCTCCGCTCACTAATTTAAGAAAACATTTCATGAGTACACGCCTTGGTCAATCCTGCTGATCCTGAGCTGAAAAGTGAGTTTTCATACTCTCCGGTCAAAATGATGCATCCAAGTAAA